AAAAGGCAGCAACAAGACTTATTCTTCTTTTTTTAGTTTTACACTCCCCCCGTAGCCGCTGGTAGGATTAGCTTTTCTTTTTTGGACCACCCCTCCTCCCTCCTCTCCCCTCCTCTTACCACCCCCTACCCGTCCCTAGACCGGCCTCGCACCCCCTCGCTCCCTCGCTGCACGTACCCCCTTTATCCCCTCCCCTCCCCTCCCCTCGCTCCTCGGCCCCGCCATGGCAGCGGACCAGGGAGCGCTCCGGTCCTTCATCTGCCCCATCAGCATGGCGCTCATGACCGACCCTGTCACCTGCTGCGATGGCCACACCTACGAGAGGTCCTCCATCGAGACCTGGCTCCGCCATCGTCTCTCCAGCCCCCTCACCGGCGCCCTCCTCCCCTCCGACCACCTTGTCCCCAACCTCGCTCTCCGCAGCGCCATCCAGGAGTGGCAGGAGCGACACGCGCTGCTCGTCCCCAGACATGACGTGGAGATGGAGCGGCAGCCTATCTCAGCAGGCTCCTCCCAGACCCTCTACATAGGTCACCTCCGCGTGCAAGGAAGGAGGGCAGGGCCCGGCAAGATCAAGGTAGCCGTGCTCAAGCTCAGGCAAGACGACGGCGGCAGACAAGCCGCGGTCATGCTCAGACTCGGGCCGCATCCTCGGCTTGTACGCTACATGGGGCAGAGCCACGACGCCGACGGCTGTCCCCTGCTGCTGACCGAGCTCGCCGAGCTGGGGTCGCTGAGGGAGGCTCTGCTGGGGAGGCTGGCGGGGCAGGTGACGCGAGGGCACCAGACGGCGATGATGGAGCAGATCGCGCAGGGCATGGAGCACCTGGCTGAGCAGCGGGTCGTGCACCGGGACCTCGCGGCTCGGCACGTGCTGGTCTTGGGCTTCGACAAGGAGGACGTGGGGAGGACGTCGGTGAAGGTGGCGGGGTACGGGCGGGCAGGGGAGCTGGTGGACGGGAGTGACGGGAGGGTAGCGGGGCGAGCGCTGCCGGTGCGCTACATGCCCCCAGAGTCCATGCAGAGAGGCCGGTGCTCGGAGAAGAGCGACGTGTGGGCCTACGGGGTCACGTGCTGGGAGATCCTGACCTCGGGCATGACCCCCTACTACCCCATGACGGACCCGACTGTGATCGGGTATGTGTGCGGGGGTGGGAGGCTTCCTCGAGAGCACCTCCTCGGAGGATGCCCGGACGGGTTGTGGGCCCTGCTGGAGAGCTGCTGGGCGACGAGGGAGGAGGACCGCCCGAGGTTCGCCGAGCTTGCGGTAGCTGTAGGAAGAGCCGGAGCGGAGGGGAATGAGGGGGCTGCTGCATGGACATGGTCAGACAGGACGCCTGGACAGCGGCGGGCAGGGGCCGGCAACCAGTCGCAGAAGCTGCATGGAGAAGGATCGGAGAGGCAGCGGGGGGAGGGATCGAGGCGGTGGCGAGGAGAGTCAGGAAGCGCAAGTACGGAGAGCTCGTGGAGCTGCAAGAGTCAGCTTGCACCGCCTTGGAGTCCACGGGCAGCGACGCTCTCAGCTCGCTGAGGACAGGAGCTCAGGCGCTGCCGGTCAGGGCGTCGGCAGCGCTAGGGGCACAAGACGGAAGCAGGACGGAGCAGCCGGCAAGGGAGGCATGGAGGCTGCTGAGGACGGGAGCTGACGACAGCATAGAGGCGGTGTTGCAGGAGATGAGGACGTACGAGGCTCTCGCGGAGGTACAGCAGGCTGCGTGCGAAGCCTTGGTCAGCATGGCTCAGAACGGGGAGGCTGACAAGGTCAAGGCGCGAGAGGCGGGAGCGATCGAGGCCGTCGTCAGCGCCATGTCCATGCACGCGGACGACGCTGGCGTACAGCAGGCTGCGTGCTGGGCCTTGAGACATACCGTCAGTCGCATCAAAGAGAGCCAGGCGCGGGCTCGAGAGGCGGGAGCGATCGAGGCCGTCGTCAGCGCCATGACCAGGCACGCAGACGACGCTGGCGTACAGCAGGCTGCGTGCGAGGCTCTGAAGAACACTGTCAGCTTCAGGGACGAGAGCCAGGCGCAGGCGCGGGAGGCGGGAGCGATCGAGGCCGTCGTCAGCGCCATGACCACGCACGCGAACGACGCGGGCGTACAGCAGGCTGCGTGCTGGGCCCTGGACTACACTGTCAGCTTCAGCGATGAGAGCCAGGTGCGAGCACGAGAGGCGGGAGCGATCGAGGTCGTCGTCAGCGCCATGTCAAGTTATGCGAACGACTTGAAAGTACAGCATGCTGCGTGTGAGGCCCTGAAGTACACATTGCAGTACTTCCGATACCAGGGCACAGCGAGAGATGCGAAAGCGATCGAGGCTGTCGTCAGCGCCATGACCAGGCACCAGAGCAACGCGAAGATACAGCAAGGTCTATGCGAGGTGATGACAGCGATAGCCGAGAGCCACGAGCAGAACAAGCTCCCGGCCATGCAGGCGGGAGCGATCGAGGCCGTCGTCAGCGCCATGTCCACGCACGCGGAAGACGCTGGGGTACAAGGATCTTCCTGCGAAGCACTTGAAAGTATGACAGAGGGCATGGCAGACAGCCAGGCGCGGGCGCGGGAGGCGGGAGCGATCGAGGCGGTAGTGAGGGCGATGTCCAGGCACACGGACGACAGGTGGGTACAGAAGACTGCGTGCAGGGCCGTGACAAACACAGTGAGTCACATCAAAGAGAGCCAGGCGCGGGCGCGGGAGGCAGGAGCGATCGAGGCCGTCGTCAGCGCCATGTCCACGCACGCGGACGAGAGATACTTGCAATGGTCAGCATGTCAAGCACTTCAAAGCATGACGGAGGGCATGGCTGACAGCCAGGCGCGGGCGCGGGAGGCGGGAGCGATCGAGGCCGTCGTCAGCGCCATGTCCAGACACGCGGACGACCGATGGATACAGCGTGACGGATGCAAGGCCTTGCGCAGCATGACGGAGGGCATGGCAGACAGCCAGGCGCGGGCGCGGGAGGCGGGAGCGATCGAGGCCGTCATCAGCGCCATGTCCACGCACGCGGACGACTGGTGGATACCGCGTGACGGATGCAAGGCCTTGCGCAGCATGACGGAGGGCATGGCGGACAGCCAGGCGCGGGCTCGAGAGGCGGGAGCGATCGAGGCCGTCGTCAGCGCCATGTCCACGCACGCAGACGACCGATGGCTACAGTGTGACGGATGCAAGGCCTTGCGCAGCATGACGGAGGGCATGGCAGACAGCCAGGCGCGGGCTCGGGAGGCGGGAGCGATCGAGGCGGTAGTGAGGGCGATGCAAAGGCATGAGGGCAGCGGGTGGTTGGAGGATAGCGCGATGGAGGCTCTGAGCAGCCTTGCTAGCGACAACTCGTACAACATCCGACGCATCCGACGGCTCCGAGGCGCCGCCCTGCCTCCCAACATCCCCGACACCCGTGCTTCTGAGGCGGGCCGACGGCTCAGGTCCGTGCTCGAGCGACGCGATGCCGAGTGATGGGGAGGGTCGTGGTGCAGCTGGAGGGGAGGCGGGGATGGCGGGGAAGGGACAGAGCTTGTTCGTGCTGCTAGGGGCAAGAGCTGGCGGTGAGACGAGCGTCGAGCAGGGGGCTGAAGCTTTCTCAGCTTGTCGGTCAATGTTGCGGTCAGCCTTGATTGTACTTGATAGAAGCGCGTCTTGCTCTCTACCTCTCAGCTCTTCTTGTCCTCCACCCCCATGTCTGTCTATGCGGGCTAGTGCTCGCTTTTACTCCACTAAACTTTGGTATTCTGAGTAACATATCTGTATGACCCGTAGGATACTGAAGATCAGGACCTGGTCTCAACTTTGTTGCGTCTCTCTATATTTTTACCTCGCCTGGTGACGTCACTCCCTGACCTCTCACTATCAGGTTGCATCACCCTACCAATCCAATTTGTGGAAGTTGACGCGTGTGGGTGCCAGTTCAATGCGTCCGAGGAAGGGGTCATAGAGTCCCCGAAGTCACCTGGAAACCAGAAGCACGAAAGAAAGTGGGGGTCAAGGAAGTGTAACTAGACTCCTCTCCTGATCTCCTCTCCGCTTCTCTCCTCTCCTCTCCTCTTCGAGACTTCAAACCTATAGAAGGGAGGAGCCTGTTTTGACGACACCCTCTCCTGCATGGACTGAATCCACTCATGCTTTGAGAAACCTTGGGCAGATGTCTGGCTTGACTTGCCTCTTTCAGATTCAGCTTGCCCCTGACAAACCTCGAATACATTCAGGGATTCCATCCATGTGCTTACCAAGATGTGATGTTCTTTCAGTAACATCGCTCCCTTGAAAAGGTGTTCCTGTGATGTCCTGCAGTGAGTGTCATATCTCTTGCTACCTGCCTCGCTGTGTCAGTCTCGCGTACCTCCCAAGCTCTACCTCCTCCTCTCTTGATTCTACAAATCATTTTCATTCTTATCCGATAGAAAGGATCGCTCGTATCGAGCTCTACGAGGCAGACAGCAGCATCAGCCGCTGCCTGCTGGATCATCAAGTAGCCGCGCTTCTCACATGCCGAGAGCCATGGGCTGCTGGCCGTACGCTGGAGTAGCAACAGGCATCGGAGCTGCAGCGGCGTACTCCACGTCAAGGGCAGGATAGGCTTGAGGCAGGTAGACAGGCACCATCTCCACGTCTACTGCCTTGCCGACGGCCTTGAGCAGGAGGAGCTTGTAGGCGAGCAGGCCAAGCAGAGCTGCTCCTACCACGCCCCCGATGACGCCTCCGATGATGGCTCCGATGTTCTGACCTCCTGCTGGAGTCGTCGACGAGCTTGCATTTGCTTGTGTAGACATGGCTGCTGCTGAGGCCCCGACGATCACAGCAAGCTTGCGCGGGTCTGTCTTCCAAGCGAACATCCTGCTGCTGGCAGAAAGCAGAGCGGACTTCTGACCGTTGGAGTAGGAGCCCGCAATGGTGTCGTTGAGGTACATGTCGGCTGTCGTAGCCGATGACGTCGACACGATGAGCAGGGCCGGGCTGCTCCAGGTAGAGTCCAGCACGGACGGTCTGCTGGTGATGGAGTAGGAGTACGCGCTGCCGTCTGACACCGACAGGCTCTGCTGGGGTACAGCCTGATCGCCGAGCATCTGACCGAAGGAGTCGAGCACGAACACGGGCGAGCCTGGCTCGTGAGGGATCGGAGAGCTGGCGTTGATGGCGTTGGAACCGTTGGTAGGAGACAGCAGTGAGCTGTCTGAGCTCGGGTCATACCCGTCCATCCTGTCCTGGAAGTGGAGAGGGTCTGCTGGGAACCTCCAAGGCTGGTACGTCACGGGGTAGGTCACAGTTGGCCTGATGAGTCTCTTGGTGAACTTGTTTGTCAGGTCGACCCCGAGGTAAGTCTGCTGGATCAGAGGGCGGTAGGAGTAAGTCGCTCCTCCGACCGCCTGCCCTTGGGCGTCGCTGTCGATGAACCTGTTGAGGCTCAGCTGGAAGGATGGCTGGCTTGTCACTCCGGCTCCTCCCGACAGCACGTGGACTCCTGACACTGCGATCACTCCAGCAGCGTTCATGCTGTACACAGGCAGAGCTGAGAAGCCCGACAAGCCCAGCAGACTTGACCTGACGTTGAGCTGCCAGGAGAAGACCGCGTTGGGGATGTTGTAGGGCGTGTTGGTCACGTGAGCAGCCGCCGACGTTCCTCTCAGCCCGCGATCATCCTCGGGGACGACACCTGAGGCGGGCTGTCGGATCATGATGATCTCCTCGTCGAGCTGTGCCCAGACGTCTTGGTAGCTGCTGGAGGCCTGCAAGATCGAGCTGGGAAGGGCGATGGAGCCCTGCTGGGCAATGTATCTCAGGTGCTGGTCGCGCCGAGTCATAGGAGTTACGGCAGACACTGGCGAGGACGTCTTGGCTATGGGAGCGGTCCATGCGACTGATGCAGCGAGCTTGTGAGGGGCAGCAGCGGTGCCTGCTTGAGCTCGAGAGACATGGAGGAGGTTGCCGTTGAGGTTGTCTATGGTCATGATCTCATCGTCGATGACGATGCTGTCGCCGGCTAGGAACCCGGAGGCGTCGAAGAGGATGACGCGCGTTACGGTCGAGTCAATGTCTAGAGCAAGCTTGGACGTGGCGAAGCTCTTCTTGGAGATCGGCAGCAGCTGATGGGTGAAATGTACGTCATAAAACCATGCAATAGTATGGTCTGGGCCATATCCTCCTGAGGTGAAGGTGAGGCGGACTTCGTTCGCAGAGGATGAGATGACTTGTGCTGTGCCACCCGTGTTTAACAGATCGACAGAAGCAAACAACTTGAATATGACATAACCCCACGTGAACATGACGCTGTCACCGGGGGATAACGCGTCACCGTTCAGAACGTCAAATCTCTCGTACTTGAACAATACTGCTTTGTCTTTTGAGAATGATATTCCTTGAATAATACTGTATGGAGTAACGTCCATGGAGTAATCTCCGACAGCTTGTACTCGAAACAAGCCTCTAGACCCGTCGCATATCCACACGAAGTCACCCGGGGAGTAGAAGTCTGAGACTAGAGTGTGCAAGGAGATGCTGAAGGTAGCAGAGTCAGAAGGGTCCATAACGTCTGTGTCAAGAGTTGAGTTGAGGAGCCTCAGACCCTCAATCTTCACAAGGTACCCTGTGTAAGGAGGATCTTGATCTTCATCAAACAATCTTTTTAATGTGATTTTGCTGTCTGCAGTGTTGATAGCTGTCACTTCGAGAGCTGAAGAGCCATCGCTCACGATGTCTCCAACTGCAAAGTCGGATGTCCTCGACATTGTTACCCATGTATCATCGGAATCGATAATGTATGGAGGGTTGAAGTAGGCAGGCTTCGCTATTGTCTGCACAAGCGCACCCGCTGACACGCTGGTAGCCTGCGAAAGCGAGAAGGGAATCTGATATATCGTGCATTCAGGGATCATTTCTCGACGCACACTGCCGTCCGACTGATACTCCATCACTTCTATGTACCCCAAATTGCCCCCTTCATGGGCTTTTACACCTGTCAGAGCCCACAGAAGATCTCCGGCTTGCAGTCCGTAAGTGTTTGAGAAGTTTGCGTTGGTTGCCGTCTTATCGATTGACTGCTCAAGGACACGTGGGCTGAATAGATAGTTCACTGAGATCCCTTGGAAGAACTCTTGAGCAGATGATCCAAACTGAGCTCTTTGGACCGTCAGGTTCTGGTAGAGATACCCCGATACAGTAGAAGTCTCAGCGCTCAATACCAACATCGCCTCATAACTAGGTGAGGTAAATCCCGCCCGTCGAGCACAAGAATCCTCGATGCAGTACTCATAGGCATAGTGATAGATCAGCAGATAGTCGCCTGGCTGAAAGCCTGATGACTGCGTGTCTTTGACTGGGTCCATCAAACGTAGGACAGTGTCGCTAGATTTGATCGTAGTCAACAGTACCATGTTTGACCTGTAGATTGAACGCCCCAGGCTCGCCTCAGTTGTCAGCTTTACCAGCACTACCGTCGGGTGCGATGACGCAGATGTTCCTGCCTGCGCTCGCTGGACGGTAAGTTTGTCGCCGGATATCGAAGTGACTCTCATGATCTCGTCCAGCACCTGGATGAAGGCCCCCGCAAACAACAGGCTCGCGTCCGATACAGTCAAGAAGGTTTGACTCGCCGTCACGGCTTCCTGCAGCACGATCGGATAATTATGCGAGGGTCGCACGTTCCCCACCGCCTTGAACGCGGCATGACTGGCTGCGATCGTCCCCTCTTGTGCTCGAAGGACAGTCAACGACGAGGCTCCTACGGCAGTGACGTACATGACCTCCTTCTCTACCTGGATGTATCTGCCCGACGTGAACTTGGCGGCGTTTGACACCTCAATGCTGGTCGCGTCCCTTGCGACGCTCTTGAGCAGCACGGAGCCCGGGTTGAAGGTCCTGACAACGGTGCCTGCGGCGAAGGTCGAGGCTATGCTGGAGTTCAGCGCCCCTCGAGTGACCGTGAGAGTGCTCTGCTGGACGCTGATCGCGTCCACGATGAGGACTTCATCCACAAGCCGGATGTAGTCGCCGACCTTGAAGCCCGACACTGACTGCACCTCCAGCACAGCCGACCTGGAGGTCTGCAGGAGCCGACGAGCCGCCTGGTCTCTGAGAGCCACAAGAGTCGTGACAGGGAAGTTGCTGAACGAGCCGTAGACTGCGTTGATGAAGCCGGGTCTGAGCAGATAGTCCACTCCGGTCACCTGGCCCGCCAGGTTTCGGACAGAGCTCTGATCGAAGGACAAGTCGCCCGGCCAGTAGAGAGGGCCCGGCTGAAGGGCGTCTGAGCTGGGGCTGTCGGTGAAGTAGAGTAGAATCTCCGCGCACGGATACGCTTGTCCTGCGTCCGAAGGAAACTCGAGCCTCAGCGGGTTAGGCGTGCTGGGAGAGAAGCCGAAGCCCGCGTTGAGCAGGACTGGCTGGTGGGTCCGAGCATCCCACCCGATGGCTGCCAGCGCCTCATCAGCGACCACGCTCGAGAGCGAGGCATCAAGGACTGTCGACAGGTAGGAGGGACAGTTGTCTGCCGCGCAGGTGCGGGCGGGGCAAGGGAACGTAGCACATGCGCTGCACTGCGAGGAGCCTGAGCAGGAAGGCAGCGGGTTGAGCTCTGCTTGCGAGTAGGCGCTTGTGCAGGGGTTGGAGCCCGGGCAGAGAGACTTGACAACAAACGACCCGCTGCTGCAAGTCGGCTGGACGTTTGCGGCGCCCTGGTTGAGCTCTGGCAGCGAGATGTTCCTCACGAGCTCGACCCGAGACGCGACCATCCCACTTCTCGGGTAAGCGCCAAGAGTGGGAGCTGGGCACGCCGGCAGCAACCCGGGCAGAGCGACGACGTTCATGCACGGAGCGGTCAAGTAGCCGGACCCTGCGTTGATGACTTTGAGCACATACTGGTAGGGAGCAGCGTCGGCAGCGAAGCCCTTGCTGGCTGCTGTCGAGCTCGCAGACGGGCCGTTGGTGTAGGGGTCCGAGCTGGTGTCGATGTAGTCGAGCAAGACCTCTGCCTGCACTCCGCCTGAGGGGGGAGGCTCCACGAGGACGCGCGGGGGCTGACAGAGCGAGGCGGACGCGAACGCCTCGTTAGCTGTGATCTTGAAGATCAAGGAGCCTCGCGGGCCTTGGAAGCCCTGGCTGCGTCTTGCCGTGTAGACGTTGCTGGAGGAGTACGCCGACGGCCCGCTCGACACGCGCATCTGCAGCGTCTTGCGCGTCCTGTAGTCTCCTGCCGCTCCGTCCGCCGGCGAGCAGACTTGCAGCCCGTTGCGGTTGCTGGGCGAGAAGAAGGCGCTGGTCGCTACCGACTGCTCGCACGAGCCCGAGCACTCTCCGCTCACCGTCGCCTCCACCTGAAGCTCTGAGGCAGTGCACACCTGGTTGGCGATGGAGTTGGCGCTCTTGTCAGCACAGGCGCTGCTGGAGCATCCGCTGCAGCTGAAGGTCGCGATGGGTCCGGAGCCCGAGCTCTGGTATCCGTATCCCTCGTGGGTGATGAGAGCTCCGTCGAGAGTCAGGCCTGTCTGCTGTGCTGAAGTGCCTGAGGCTATGACGAAGCCCGAGTAGACGTTGGTGCCCTGATACGCCGTGTTGAGCGAGAAGAAGGAAGGCTTGCAGAGCGTCTGCTGGCTGCTGCTCAGGTCCGCAAAGTCTTGTCGGTAGCTCTTGACCGCCCCTCCGACGCTAAACTCCATGTCGACAACGATGGGGATGTTGGCGTACCCTTGACCCTGCTGTACGATCTCGTAGCTGGGAAGGCTCGCGCCCGCAGCTTGAGAGACTTTGATCTTGAGCACCTGCCCTCCTGGCCGCTGCGGAGAGCTGAACACCAGCACCGACTCATCGCAGCTGAAGAGATTACTCACGGTCGTAGGCCCGTTGTAGTGCACTACCCCAAGCTCCCCGCTGACAAGCCTCGACCCCGACACAGGAAAGGACCAGGTGGGGACCGCCAAGGCGTCGGCATGAGCGTCGACCAGACCGTTGGCGTTGATAGCTGACGGGCTTATCTTCACGTTTGTGAACCCGAACGCAAACCCCGACACCCCCTGCTGCGGGACCGTCACTGCTGTGACTCGAGAGCTGTTCCACGAGCCGCCTGCCCTCAGCATCGTCTGCGTGACTGCAGTGCTGCAAGCCTTGTTGAAGCCGACCACCACCGGCGAGTCCATGGTAGAGCGGAAGGCGGGAGCCTTCGACGATGACGTCAGCAGCGCCAACTGCATGCCAGTGTAGGAGGAGGCTCTCGAGCCGGCCATGTGAACGTCTGAGGTCGCGAAGCCTAGGATCGCCCGGGCGCTGCCGTCTGTGCACGGCAGGGTCACAGCTGGCGGATACTCGTACCCGGACCCTCCGTCGATGACCTCGATCGAGGTGACGCCGCCGTTGGCAGCTGTTTTAGCCCTCGCGGTCCTGCCTGAGGGCGGAGGCTCGATGGTGATGTGTCCTGTGCAAGACGACGGCGGTAGAGACGTCACGACTATCGCCGCCACGTATCCTGTTCCGACCTCAGCGTTGGACTTCCTCGCATCGTATCGCTTGTAGAGAGCGACCGCGGGGAAGACGGTCGAGTGCAGGCCAGTAAGGGAGTCGAAGTGATCTCGCTGGGGGTGGTACATCATCAGGTTGGAGTCAGCTGTCACCCGCAGACGAGAGGTGAAGTTGTGAGACAAGTGCGCGATGGCAAAGGCGTCACAAGGCGTGTTGGAGCTGGGGTTCGTAAGCGTCACGGTAGGCGGGAAGAAGTACCCACTCCCCGCGCTGGTGAGGGAGATGCTGGTGATGGACCCTCCGCTGACAGTCGCGACTGCAGTAGCCTGAGAGCATAGAGAGCTGTCGGACGGACAGACCGGGGTGTTGGTCAGCCCATCAGTCACCCCGTCCTTGTCGGGACTTGAGATGGTGACCTGGACGTTAGCGCTGCAGCTTGTTCCTGGAGTCACGATCTCGATCCGCTCGATGCCAGTCCGCTGCCCCTCGAGCATGAACACGCCCGACAAGCGCCTGCCAGAGGCACAGGTGCCGTAGAACCTCCCGGGTCGGAGATAGCCCGAGCCCCAAGTAGAAGGAGGAGCAAACACAGGCACGCTCCCTCCGACGCTTGTCATGGTTTCAGCATGGTTGACCGTCACCCCGTCGGACGCCTGGGGTCTCTCGATGTCACTTCCCTGGATGGTGCAGGTGTCGCCTGACGACATGGCACCGCCGAGCACAAGCATCCGCGAAGCAGCAGCGCCCGCTAGCCGGACGTTGCGAAAGCTGATGGGCGTCGCAAACTGAAACCTCGTCCTCTCTCGGATGGTCTTGGAGGCGTCATCTGTAGAGGGAGTGACGAACGCGTTGGGGTTGCTAGGGACCGACTTGAACCGGTAGCTGGGGATGCTGATGCTGACGCTCTCGCCCTGTCGGATCCACTTGCCCTTCGCCACCTGCAGCTGCAGCTGCGTGTAGATGGTGTAGGGCTTGTTGGCCAGGTCGATGCTTCTAGGCTTGTTGCCCTTGAGGTCTGCCACCCAGTAGACGCCGCCTGCTCCCTGCTTGATGACGTACTCGCTGGACCCGATCATCGCTGTCATGCCGGTGTACCGACCGACCTGCTCCTTGGGCACGACCTGACAGTCGCTCAAGAAGGAAGTCGGAAACTCTTCAGCCACCACGAAGCACTGTCTAGCTGGGTTGTAGTCGAGGATAGACTGGGTGACAACGGTGCTCGTCACGTTGGTCAAGGAGACGTCAAACACTGGAAGCTCAAGTTGCTGCACTGTCGAGGGCAGGCCGACACTTGGCTTGAGCGAGGTGGTGATGGTGGGGATGGACGTGTATCCGCTGCCTTGAGACGTCAGGCTGGCACTCGCCACAGAGACAAGCACTCGCAGCTGGGTGTTCTTCCCAGACACGGTCGCATAAGGATATCCGGAGTACAGCCCGGGGGCAGTGACATGCACAGCTGGGCTGGTGCTGTAGAGAGAAGAGATGGTAGCATTCGCCTGCAGGACTTGGTAGGTAGAATCGAAGACGATCATGTCGCCTGCTGCCAACGAGCTGCCTGACACGTACTGGACTCCCACCACCTGGTAGAGCAGCGTCCCCGTCGCCTGATCTGTCGCGCCAGATGCCACAAACGTCGGCGCGGCTCCTGATACTCCCGAGCTCTCCGAGTATCTCCCGTTGATGACCACAAGGCCCCCGTGCCGCACTCGCACGCTTGTGACCTGACCGCCGGCTGTCACCGTGTGCTGGTTGTTACGGCACTTGAGCTGCATGCCGACATAGTCCGACGGTTGAAGGAGGTTGACGCTGGTGTTCCTGTAGCAGATGTCCTGTGTGTACCCTAGAGACGACGAGGCTCCGTTGGTCACCTTGGTCAGCACCAGCGTCTTTGATGGACCCGCGAAGGTCATGTCGCTGTCCGGAAGGCCCCACGGGCAGGACACGCGGCTCCAGCAGAGGTCCTTGTTCTTGTTGTAGCCATCGTCATCCCGCGACAGCACAAACAAGCCGTCCACGTCTCCGTCTCCTGACCGATGCCTGTTCCCGTCGGCCACCCAGCCGTTGCTGATGTATGCTCGAGCGCGATCCTCCTGGTAGTAATTGAGCTCCCACTCCAGCTGCGTGGTGAAGGTGGTGAAGGCTGGGTTGGGCGACGAGGTCACGCCGAAGATGGGACCCGTGACAACGTCGTAGGCAGGCAGGTTGACGAGGAGCATGTCGCCTTCGTAGAGGTTATGCTCGGGAGTGACCGTGAACACGACATCTCTGCTGGACTGCTCCTGGAGCTGCATGCTGGACTTTGCTCGGACCTCGTAACCACTGTCTAGAGTCGCAGACACAAATGATGAGCCCGACTTGACCGTCAGAGCTTGAGCGCTGGCGGCAGTGCCCTGGTTGACCAGCTGCAGCTGGACTGTGTAGATGGAGCGATCGTAGATGAACGCTTCTGCTCGCGCGCCGCTCCCGGAGCCCGAGGAGTCGACGATCAAGACTTGAGGACGCATCGTGTAGCCTGAGCCAGGCGCTGTCAGGCTGATGGACGTGACGGTGCCGGAGATCACGGTCGCGGCTGCTGAGGCAGAGCTGCCGGCAGCAAACACTACCCCAGCAGCTGTGCAAGTCGGCTTCGTCCAGAACTCAGCTCCAGGCGTAACGTCGCATATGATGACACTGGCAGACTGATACCCTGACCCTCCCGCTGTGACCTCCACCTTGTACAGGCCCTTGGACCGGCGAGCATTGACGTTGTAGAACGGGTCGTAGACGGAAGATGAGTACTGCGTTGACGCCCCGGTGTACGAGATCTGTATCGTGTTGTCGAGGTACTTGCATACGCTGTTGAACACAGCCGGAGGCGCTATCCCGTTGGCACGATGCTTGTTGGTAGCGGCATTTACAACCTGCCCGTTCCTGGCTATTGCACATGGGATGTCCGATGATCCAGCGTTCTTCATGCTGATGAACGATCCGACTGTGATAGTCTGACCCGAGGCGAGAGGATAGTTAGGCTGTAGCTCCATCGTCAACCAGACTGTGCTGCCTGTCACATTCGATCCCGACCTGATGTTGGACGATATGAACTTGCGATCTGAGATGTAGCCCGCACACCCTGACGGCTCAGACGTGTAGCCGGCTACCTTCCTGGTCACATCATTGTTGCAGAGATACGACTGAGCTCCTCGGTACACGGCAGGTGCAGACGGTGAATCTACTGTCAGCGAGACCTGAGGGCAGGTCGCTTGTCCTGTCATGACGTTGGTGAGCTGGAAACAAAACTTGTACTTGGAGTTCTGCTGCAGCGACTTTGACGGGCCCAGCTGAAACTGTATCGTTGACTTGTCATACGTCGCGTAGTTGTCTTGCGGGCTAGCCCCAACTGTCTGGAACAGCCCGCTGGTAAGAGGCGATACCCCATACTGATCGTACAAGGCTACTTTGGTACCGGAAGAGAACATGTCCAAGCCCGTCAGAGTGAAGGTCGTCGGCGCATTGATAGACTTGCTGGGCCTCAAGGTAATGCAAACAGGGTTGACAGCTCCAGGAGCTGGACTCAACTGCCCGATGTCATACTTGTTGAGCAGCTGCCTCGTCAAGTAGAGAGCGTGCAAGTCTTTGCGCATCGGTGACGCCATAAGCTGTGGGCTCGACAGCTTGTTCTCAGCAAACTGACATGACACGGAGACAGAAGGGCTGGCCTGCTCCGTCACGCCATTCGTCAAGGTGTAACTCCATGCATATGTCCAGCCAGCATGCATGCAATTAGACGGTCGACCCTTGACAGGCAGCTGGCAAGCTCCTGGAGCAAGAGTGACTACAAGCACTCCTCGTGCTTTATCCCAGCTCGACTTCTGGATGTTGGGGAAGTACTGGTTTGTGATGGCAGCAGCAGACAAGGCCGTCACGGCTGTGTCTGCTCCTGTGAGACCAGAGATGGTGATCTGAGGACTGTAGACGGAGCTCAACAGGTCCATGTTAGACCTCAAGGTGACAGTAATGACGTTCTTCTCCTGTACGACCGAGGTTGACTGGGCGATGACTCGAGTCAGGAAGCTGTAATCGTACGTCTTGAGCACGCACACGTCTCCATCTGTCTCGCCGTCCTCGAGGGCTCTATCGACACGGTTCTGCACCATGTTGACCGTTTGCGTGACCAAGCGGTTGCCAGGGCCAACACCAGAGAAGCGCATAGTCACTGCTTGACAAGGGTTGGACACCTTAGGGTTCTTCAGCCTGAGAGCGAACACAATGTCCTGCTGCTGAGGGATGGAGTAATACATCTGATTCGCAGCATCGTCCTGGTTGACGGTCAGGACGGCTGATCCAGACGACCAGCTTGTCGTATGATGGAGTGTACCTCCCGTAATCTTGTCGATGAAGTGAGCTGTTGGCGGATCAGACTCGGGCTGTAGCTGCATCAAGCTCCAGTCGTATGACGGACAAGCCTTCACGAACAGCGCTGTTGTCGTTTGAGATCCCTGTAGGCCTGAGATAGTAATCTGGGCCAGGTTGTTCTGACCTTGGGTGTTGGAGAGCGTGGAAACACGAAAGTTGCTTCTCAGCGTCACGCAGATGTAGTTGGCAACGTCAGGACGGGTAGTCGATTGTCTGATCTTGTACTTGATAAACCCAGGACTCAGCACCGTGCCGAATGTGTTGCCGATGTTCTCCACAGCCTCCGCGCTCACCACGTCTCCTCCTTTCTGCATACTGACAGTCATCGAGCACGCCGGGTGAGCCAAGTCCAGGTTCCGCCAAGTCCATGACAGAGCGTAAGTACCGCGAGCGACGAGACTCAAGCTGCTCGCCACAGTGATCTTGAGAGGTCCCCCGCCACTCCAGTCCAGCCTTGAGCCTGGCCAGTAGTCCGCGAGGTCGACCTCGGTCGGGTTTCCAGTACATGTGTCGGTCAGCGGCGTCCCGCCGTTGAGCCTGTTGCTGACTAGAGAGACATAGGCTGAGTTGCTCTGCGAGCCACAGAGGCCCTGAATGCTGATGACCGACCCTACCTCGACGTTGAAGTTGGGCCGGAGCGTCACAAAGAGGTTGGTCAGTGAGCCAGGGTCGCTTGAGCTTTGAAACATCGACACCCTCAGCTTCTTGCCCACCACCTCCAAGATCCTCGACGACGAGTCAAACGAGGTCGGCGCAACCGTGATCGCTACAGACTTGGGTAACGTACAGAAGTCATTGGTCAGACACGCCTGCCCGGACATTGACACTTTGAGGTCTCGAGACGACTGAGGGTTGGCACCCGTCACAAGACTGAAGGACAAGGTCAGCACCTCTCCAGCTTGGATGTAATGCCCGGGTATGAGCTGAAAGGTCAGGGTCCCGTCAGCCTTGAAGTCTGCTGACCCGACGGTGTTGGCGGTGGTGGACGTTCGAAACCTCGCAGGCATCAAGTCCTGCACCGGGCTTGAGCCTTGGCATTGACACTTGTTCTGAAAGAGCCGCACGGGCTGACTGGTGGTCGAGGCTCCCGTCAGTCCGGTGAGAGTGATGGTGGTGGGATTGACGCCAGCCGAGAAGAGGGTGGCCGAGCTGATCAGAGTGACGGTGATGCAGACAGCTTGATTGGGCCCATCATTGTTGCCTGACGCTGCCGCATAGACGAAGGCTGGAGGAGCTACGGTGCCGACGGCTCCTGCTCCAATTCTTGTAGGGATGGGAGGCAGGTCCGTACCGAACCTCACTGAGCGATACTGGTCGAAGGGAACTTGATACACCAAGAGATCGCTAGTGCAAGGCGTCGACGGAAAGTCACTGATCGCCTTCACCGCACAGCCTCGTGAAGATCCAGATGCCTGATACACGGCCACATTCGCTAGCTGATACCAGTGCTCGTCTATCCCTCCAATGGGCGGCAGAGGGCCCAGCCCGTTCTGCTTGCCGTGAACGTCATAGTTCTGATACAAGGAAACCTTGCTGATGTACACGCCTGTGATGGGCTGCGATGAGGACATGAGGAGACGGAGCGTCTCTTTCTGTGAGTCCCAATGACACATGGAGAAGGAGTTTGCTTGGAGCTGCTTGAGATCGAAAGCGTTCGACGAAAGGTCCTGGGTGATCCCAAAGCATCCTCCCACCCCCGGACCAGCCTCGAGCGAAGACTGGCTTGACACAGGGAGACCTGCTGCCCATGGCTTGGACACGCTCTCGGATATGGTGACGACTTGACCTTGCTTCATCCACATGACGCTTGTCTCTGCGCTGCCAGATCTGTATGCGCCGAAGAGGTTCGATCCTCCTGAAAAGCGCGGGAGATAAACTTCAATGACGGTATCCGATGCAAGAATGTCATTCCCTTCGCTCCAAGCTCCCAGCGACCCCCAGTAGATCTTGAGGTCTGTCGCTTTCAGGTCCGACGTGCCTCCTTCCATCTGAAGCTGGGCCGTCTCAGCGACTGTGTACTTCACTCCAGACTGTAAGACGACAGCAGCATGCGCAGGACAGCTGATGGAGAGTGCGAGGAGCAAGATCGCCTGAAGGCAAGTCAGCATGGGAGCTCGTCGCAAGCAGGACAGCAGCACCTGTAGCACAGACATGTCGGTAGGGGAGGACAAAGGCAGACCCACCAATTAAAAATGTCGGTGTGCGCCAACTGGACTTGGATTCAAGTGCGATTCGAGCTCAGGAGCACCGGTAGTCAGCTGTTCGCTATAGCTCTCAGTAAGATGGGGTGGTACCATGTTCAGACCTTGTTGGAAGTTGGCGTCTTAATTGAGGGGTGGTCTGCCCCGCAGGGTCGGAACTTCCACTTCAGAGAACCCCTCCGTTTGAGGGTGTGCCATAGGGGTGGGGGGTAGCCCCCTTACTCGCAAGGATGAACCTTGATATTGAGAGACGATAGGAATGAGATGAAGATCTCATATCATACCTGTAAGAGATGATCGAGCTTCTTTCTCAACTCTACAGGTTGGACCAAGGTTTGAATCATCCATCGTGTACTGGGATATGTGCCCTTGGTTCAAACAATCCGCGAGTGTACTTGCAAACATGCTTCGAAGACAAGATGAAATTTCCACGCACAGGTAAGCAACTAACAATGGATACACCACTAAACAGAATCAACTCTGATTGACCCTTCTTTCAATTGCCGTAGGTTGCACGTTGCGCTTTCATGTCATCGCTCAATTTCAATTCTTCTAGTCTTACAGTCAAGATTAACAAAGAATAGCCTAGTGTCTCTTCTATGGACTTGAATCAAGCCCTTGTTCTTCCTTTGTTTTGCTGTGAAGCGCGAGCTCTCATAAAATTGGAGTTCCTCTTCTGTTATGATTTGTTCTTGAAGCAGCTGCTGAACGAGAAACTTGTTTCTGAACACTCGGTCTGTGAAAGTCCTGAGGAAGGCCATATAATCTCGGTACTCTCCACGGACTCGGTTGTCACTTGCCATATGTAGTTCTATGGTAAGGAGATATAAAATTTAGGCAAGAGATAGAGTATGGTTCGTTGGATGAAGAGGAGGGAGAAGATGAAGATGATGCCTGAGGGAGAAGATGAAGATGATGCCTGAGGTAGATGATGCCGCATGCGGTATATGATTAATAGGGCGAGTAAGTATAGATGATGCTATTATCCTCTATTGAATATGTTTTTCCCCTCTTGAAAAAAAAGATAGTAATAAAACAACCAAGGATAAGGGGGGGTAAGGATAAGGGGGGGTTTTGAAAAGTATTTTACAAATCCATCACAAAAGGTCCAAACACTTACCAAATACCCCCCCTTATCCTTGACCCCCCTTATCCTTAGTTCATTCACTACTAAACAATCAAACAATGTTGAAGAAATAAATGACTTAGTAGCTCAAAGGGGTATGTGTGAGCGTTAAAAGGTTAATCGGAAGTTTGCGTCAATCACTTAGTAGCTCAAAGGGGTATGTGTGAGCGTTAAAAGGTTAATCGGAAGTTAGAGTCAATCAGACATCATAGGATGCTCACATGTTAGTAGTTACGCCTCTTAGAGTAGGTGTGTCGTGGGCATTATCTGACGAGATACACAAGTGATATGGTAACAAACACTAGATGTGATTTGTGAGGTTGGCGCCTTACTTTCGTATCTGATATTGTATAATCAGCAATATCATACTAAAACATCAGAACATTTAAGAGCATAACAGGTTTTATGTGTGATATCTATGAATCACATAAGCACAACATCAGAACATAGCCGCTGAATCCCTGTATGACCTAGTCAAGGCCCTTATATTGATTACATACGGTGTTTTATACATTGCTTCTTCGGACATTTAGAGGGCTGACAAATAAGCCCCTATTTGTTCCTTTTGGTCACGAATGGTCACGAAAGCATTTATTCAGACCATTGTAAGAGCTGACAAATAACCCCCTATTTGTTCCTTTTGGTCACGAATGGTCACGACGACATCGCACAGCGGCATGAGCTCTCCATCTCCCCGGGCCACATCTATTCATAGAGGTTCTACGGACATATAGCTAGATATTGGGGGAGGTCATCAGCTGAACAATCATTAACGATTTGCCAGAATCTGAACATTTATGGCATAAAAGTTCAGAATTTTACAGCAGAATCTGAACTTTTAGGGGTTATTTGTTCAAAATGGTCATGAATGCCCACGACACACATACTCTAAGAGACGATGCTCGGCACGAACCAACTTGTCTCTTCGTCTCGGGTCGACGCGCGGCGTCAGGTGACCGATGACAGCGTCTCACACGAGAGAGTGGAAGAAGGTGTTGCCAAGACAAACAAGAGTCCGAGCAAAGTGACTCTAGAGCAAGATGGCGTGATGGATGCGAGGGAGAGATGCATGGGAGGAGAGAAAGGAAAGCAAGTGTTCATTCAGGAGGAAGAGGCTGCAGACCTTGTCTTGTCGCATGTGATGATGGATGAACACATCGGGGGGGTTGGAATCGCGTCCATGAGAGAGGAAAGAGAGTGACTCAGTCGTCATGCTTCTGATGGTGGTCTTTGATAGCCACGTCAGCGGTCAGCACAAGACCAGATCCATTCCTCAGCACCACCCCCTCCCCCACCACAGGGCCGAAGCCACCCCTCCACCATAGTCCATACACGCCAACTTTCATTAAGGGGTACCCCGGTCTCACTCGATCCCTTGCCAGAGAAGACCTCGCGAGACATCCTAGTAGCCTATGACCTGTCTACACACCCGGGTGCTATCTAGCCTAACAGTCTGACCTGACTACGGGTACTCCTGAGCTCGGTCCTCGGCGTTGAGCCAAGTAGGTTGGCGAGTGTCTGCCGGTACACTCGGAGGTCCTTTTCTGCAGTTTCTCTTTGTTGGTGTTTTTTCGTTTCTGCTGCAAACTCGTGCAATCCCATCAAGTCTCGTTACACACATTCGGATGACTCTTCTCTTCAATCAGGCTCTCTCTCTAGCCGCAAGTTGTTTCAAGTCAGCCCTATCACTAGTATCCCAGCCACAATCTGTTTGATCCATCTTCGGATGCACTCTAGGAAAAACAAGCCTCTCCCCAGCCAGATTGGTCGGTCGGACATCAGCTACACTGCGGACCGGACATGAAGTTGCCGGAAAACACTGGGAGCTACTAGTCGATTCCGAGTCTGACTGTTATTTCAAGTCTCTTGATCGTCAGCTTTGAGTAGGATCAAATCAGCAACTCCCTGGAGACTGCGATCGAGGGACGTGTTGATGTCACAGAGCTACTGGTGGCTAGCCTTACACATGAGAGACTGCCGGAGCTACTTGTGGATCGGTGAGCAAGCTCACTTGTGCATCGGTGAGCAACTTCACTTGTGCATCGGTGAGCAAGCTCACTTGTGCATCGGTGAGCAAGCTCACTTGTGCATCGGTGAGCAAGCTCACTTGTGGATCGGTGATCAAGCTCACTTGTGCATCGGTGAGCAAGCTCACTTGTGCATCGGTGAGCAAGCTCACTTGTGCATCGGTGAGCAAGCTCACTTGTGCATCGGTGAGCAAGCTCACTTGTGCATCGGTGAGCAAGCTCACTTGTGCATCGGTGAGCAAGCTCACTTGTGGGTCGGTGAGCAAGCTCACTTGTGGGTCGGTGAGCAAGCTCACTTGTGGATCGGTGAGCAAGCTCACTTGTGGGTCGGTGAGCAAGCTCACTTGTGCATCGGTGAGCAAGCTCACTTGTGGGTCGGTGAGCAACTTCACTTGTGCATCGGTGAGCAAGCTCACTTGTGGGTCGGTGAGCAAGCTCACTTGTGCATCGGTGAGCAAGATAAGACTGCACAACCTCTTCAAATGCCTTGAAACGGATGTTCCACCCTCGCGACAGCAATCTCTGGTTACAAGATTTTTACGGTTCAAGTATCATCTTTTGGTGATCAAAAGCCGGCGGGCAAGCTTGTCTCTCCTTGTTCAAGTTCCTCTCTTATCTTCTCCTCTATCACTACTACCTCCCCTACATCACCCCCTACTCTGACGCTCTTCCATGACCCCCACCCCTCCTTGTCCGTACCCACCCCTCTCTTCCCCTCGGGTCTGGTTTACTTCCTCCCCTACATCACCCCCTACTCTGACGCTCTCCCATGACCCCCCACCCTCCTTGTCCGTACCCACCCCTCTCTTCCCCTCGCGTGTGGTTACCTTCCTCCCCTACATCACCCCCTACTCTGACTCTCTCGCATGACCCCCCGACTGTCATGGCGCTGACGACGGCCTCGATCGCTCCCGCCTCTCGCGCCTTGACCTTGTCAGCCTCCCCGTGCTGAGCCATGCTGACCAAGGCTTCGCACGCAGCCTGCTGTACCTCCGCGAGAGCCTCGTACGTCCTCATCTCCTGCATCACCGCCTCTATGCTGTCGTCAGCTCCCGTCCTCAGCAGCCTCCATGCCTCCCTTGCCGGCTGCTCCGTCCCGCTTCCATCTTGTGCCTCTAGCGCTGCCGACGCCCTGACCGGCAGCGCCTTCGCTCCCGTCCTCAGCGAGCTGAGAGCGTCGCTGCCCGTGGACTCCAAGGCGGTGCAGGCTGACTCTTGCAGCTCCACGAGCTCTGCGTACTTGCGCTTCCTGACTCTCCTCGCCACCGCCTCGATCCCTCCCCCCGCTGCCTCTCCGATCCTTCTCCATGCAGCTTCTGCCATGCTGCATATGCCTCGGCATAGCGACTGGTTGCCGGCCCCTGCCCGCCGCTGTCCAGGCGTCCTGTCTGACCCTGTCCATGCAGCAGCCCCCTCATCCCCCTCCGCTCCGGCTCTTCCTACAGCTACCGCAAGCTCGGCGAACCTCGGGCGGTCCTCCTCCCTCGTCGCCCAGCAGCTCTCCAGCACCGCCCACAACCCGTCCGGGCACCCTCCGAGGAGGTGCTCTCAAGGCAGCCTCCCACCCCCGCACACGTACCCGATCACAGTCGGGTCCGTCATGGGGTAGTAGGGGGTCATGCCCGAGGTCAGTCCCAAGAGTCATCGTGTGCTGATCAGAGGATCTCAGCTGCTTCCGGCTCTGATCTCATTACTGCTCCTCGGGTCACTGAGCACTCGCTCACACAGTGTGTAACTCCGGATCTTGAATGTTTGATCGATCAGAGTTCGTTTCACTCTACTGCGTCTCACAACATTCAGTAACGAGGAGAACAGTCACATAGTGTAGCCGTTCTCTTTGGTTGCCGGGTCAGTTAACCCCACGTCTCTTGGTACTAACTTTAGTCTATTTCAAACCTAAATTCAGTTGAGTCAAGAAGGAAAAGTCAGGTGGGCAATTTTTGGTCAAATGAGTCAAATGATATATGGCTGCAGTAGTACTATAGTAGGCCTCTTGTCTTGCATGTCGGGGTGTGCTGGAGGAGCTGAGAGGTACCCAGAGGTTTTGCTCACGGGGGGGCGATGAGGCGGAGGAGCTGAGAGGATGTGGTCATGAAGCTGGCCGGGCTGTAGTGACGTCTAGTCATCATGGATGGAAATGAAGCTTGTTGCTAGGGGATCACCCGAGCGCTCGTAGACGCATGACCGTGACCGTCACGAGCCGAAGCCGCGAAGTTGGTGAAGCCTCCAGCTCACAACCCTTGGCCTTGACCCCTCGGGCCCAGGTCTGCTCCGAGGCCCTCGCCAGCTGACTCCTTCATTTAAGGGTGGATCAGCGAGCTCAGGAGTACCGGTAGTCAGCGGAGACTGTCAGAGCTCACTGTCATACAGCAGCGCCGCAGTCGCTGTACCGTCACGTTGTCTTACGGTCCGATCTTCAGCCTCCGAGGCTCCGGTCACTGAGATCGCAGTAGATGACTAAGTTAGTCAATCCTCTCAACGGTTTTCATCGCCAGCAGTCCGCCTCGGATCCGTTGCTCCAATTAGAGCGTCCACCCCTTACGCTGACTAGCGAAATCAAGGAGCTTCTGGGGGTGGGGTAGGGCAGTGCAAAATACATCAACAGGTAGGGTAGGCTGGTGTTGCTCACCCGTACCTGATAGGCGGAAACCATGGGATTGAAGAGGGTGGTATACGACTAGGGTAGGGCTCCATGTAGAGGGGTGGTTGGGCGGGAAACATGGCAGGAGGATGAAGGGGGAGAGCGGGAGGAGAGAGGGAGAGAGGATGGAAGGAGCTTGAGGGAGGGTGAGGACAAGCTTGTCATGTCGCTAGAGTGTGAGAGATGTCTTGTAGCTGCT